TATCATGCTATATTTGAATAATATAGTGTAGGACCATACCTATATAAGGCATATTTATACTTTTTATTTTTCAAAATACCAAACAGATCATGCATTTTAGCCATTCCTTATTTCGCTCAATTTAACACTGTCTTTACATGGGCTGATTCTGTGAGAACAGCACCATCTACAGGCCTGGCATATGTACTACAGCGTCTCCAGAGGGTCTTCACAGGAGAGAGAAGGGGCATCAGACCAGATCCAAAAACTGCTGACCAGCATTATTATCATTTTGATTGACAGAAGAGTTCCTGAAGTAAAGCTCGTTGTTGTCGTAAGACTTTGACTATCTAATTGTTCCTAGCCTAAAAGGACAGCATAAGTACAAATTGGCTCACCTTACCCCACTCACCCCTACGTTTATTTGCAGTAGAAAGGAAGGTAGTAGTATTTAAACTGTCAATTATTTTTATTGGATATTGATTACAGTAGTCAAAGTCAAGGTCAACTTTAGTGTCAATCTTTCAGTTTGTGTGTACAGAGAGATCGAAATAACGTTTCCAACAATCCCGAATACAAATATACAATAATACAAATATGTATACAAATATAGTACATTATATTACCAAGCTTAAAAAGACAACTAATTGAATAGAAGAAAACCAAGTCCCAACAATGTTTTATTCTCTGAGAGATTATCACAGAGTAGATATTGATATATAACGAGATAAATGTAGGAACACAGTTATTGATGTGTGAGGTTGAGTTTGGGACAGTTGGGGGTTTATCGTGGGACAGCACAGAGGCTGTAGGGTTTGGGGCAGTGCGTGGCTCCTAACTTGTACTCCAGAGTTGGCTGCACCCCTGGGGGGGGCGCAAAGGAAAATCTCTGAAGGAGGGTGGTGAAGAAGAGAAATAACTCGGCCCTGGCCAGCTGCTCCCCCAGACACACACGCTTACCTGAGAACACACAAAACATCAGATGTATTCACACAATCTTTATTCACTTTTCAGACTTTGTGCCTGCTCCTTTGTCTGTGGGGAGTTACACACTGAACGGATGGGCACATCATTAAACCCCCAAACACTACAAACTATCCCATTTGAAAGCTATAACTATCAACTAACCTGCTGAAAAAGGAAGGAAGGCTTCTCTCTTCCTGAATGTTCCATCCTGGTCCAGAAAGTGCTGAGGGTTGAAGGTGTGAGGAGTTTCCCAAATGGACTCGTCTCGTAAAACGGAGACCAGTGTGGGCAGGACCATGGTGCCCTGAGGAGAATCCAGTCAGGGAAATGTGTCTTTGTTTGCATTCTTCAAGTTAGTTTGTTTTAATAAACAAAAAAGAAACATGATTAAAAAAAGATTACAAGGTCAGCTTCTAGGTTCATTCTCAACCTTGGAGACACAGGTTGTCGAATGAATTAAAACATTAAAAAAAGCACCACACCTGTGCTGATCAAAATCATGTGGTACATGAAAAGCTACCAAATAGAATATAAATCTTTGAAACCAAAGGAAGATAACCTGAACAAAAAATAAATCTGTATGCTGAGTACAATTAGCTTGTTGTGTCTCGATGGCAGTTGGATTTTGAGTTTGTTTGTTTTTGATTGACATGATCTTTAATAGTTGAGTGACTGGTTAACTGCTATGTTAATAGAAAATCCAATTAACAGAACAAATAATAAGCACCGCGTACCTTCGGGAAAGTGTACTTGTCCAGTGTGGTCTCCTTGTTTGTCATGCGGACCAAATTGAGGGGAAGAATGTTAGCCATTCTCTGGATTTCATGGATGACTGCGTCAGTGTACGGCATGTTTTCTCTGTCAGTCACAGACGGCTGCTTGGATGAACCAACCACAGAATCTATCTCTGCCTGGACTTCCTCTGCACCGTGGAAACAGGAAACAGTGTGAGTCCGGGCACTGCATACATGACGGGGAAATGTTGTGCAACACACTAAGTAAGGTCAAGTAACGATGCAAACAAAACATGCAGGAATGGGTGTGTACAGGTACTAATCAAACAAACACACACCTTGAATATGAGGGTAGTTGATCATGAACAGCAGTCCCCAGTGTAAAGTGGTAGTGGTCGTTTCAGTTCCAGCACCAAACAGATCCAGAGTGCAAAAACATAAATTATTCAAATCAAAACCAGATTCTTTGTGCTTGTTCTATAAAAAAAAAAAAAGGTTCCATGTATTAGTTGACATATATATATTAATTAAAAATAGAACAGAGAAATCAACAAACACAATCAGGTGGTGCAGGTCCTTAAACCCGGAAATGAGTTAGCATTTTTGCACTTCCGGTTCCGCTTAGGGTTAGATCCCTGATATAGATCTGTGGTTAACACAAGCTTAAGAGTTGTTTACGTTTTGTTCAACAACAAAAACTATAAGAAAATATATCAGTGTACCACAGCCAGGAAGCTGACAAACAACTGATTCTGTCTTTTCCCCAGTCTGAAACCCAGGTGTTCGCACGCATCTCTGCCTGTCTGGCTGACATTACATTACATGTTACTTGTTAGATGCTTTTATCCAAAGCGACTTACATACTCAGTACTGTGGACAATCCCCACAGGAGCAATTTGGGGGGAAGTGTCTCAGGGACACAACGACATGCTGACTGCAGTGGGGTTTTAACCCGTGCTCCCCTTATCCGAACACCAACGCACTAATCCACTGCGCAACACATCTCTCAGTGGAGGTCTGC